AACGCACACCAAGTACGTGTGTGTGTGTGTGTGTGTGTGCACGCACACGTGCCCAAAATCCCGAGAGGAAATGGAGGAGAAGGGATTGAAGTGTGGCCATCCTCCCTGGAGGGTGATTTCTTGCTTCCTTTCTCTATAACTCTCTGTTTCTCCAGTGAGCACACAGGCCCTATAGCAAAAACCTCTCAAAAAAAAAAAAAAAAAGAAATTAAAATCTATAAAAGAAATATATTAATAAGTTTGGCTATGTTAAAATGTAAAAAAAAGTGTTTGATGAAAGAAATTTTAAAAACTCCAAAGATTTGCACACAGGTGTTCACAATAGCACTCATAGTAGACAAAAGTGAGCACAAGCCAAGTGCCCGGCCGACTGGGAAGCTGGTAAGGATGTGAGCTGGCCATGCAACAGGGTATCCTTTGGCCGTAGACAGACATGCTGATACCAGTTAAACACGGGGTGCCTTGGAAACGTTACTGGAAATGAAAAACACCAGACACAGTAGACATGATTCCACTTACATGAAAAGTCAGAAGAGGTAAGTCCATATGGATAGAAAGTAGATTAGTGAGGGGCCAGCCCCAGGGCATGATGGTTAAGGGAGCCAGATACCACGTGGCCGACTGCACTTCAAATCCCAGCCCAGACGGCTTGAAAACAACACTCTGGACACATGCATGTGTGCTCAAACCCCGACAGGATGGAAAAGTGCAGAAGGTGGGTGCAGCTGCACCATGCACCACCAGAGGCGCCATCTCCCTCTGCCTCTCCCTCTGGCCCTCTGTCTCTCTGGTGAACACACACATGCTCTGGGGGAAAAAAATTGTGTGTGTGTGTGTGTGTGTGTGTAGAGAGAGAGAGAGATGGCTGAATGCCTAGGGAGAGAAGGTGTGCAGAATTTCTTTGGGGCGGGTGATGAAATGTTCTAAAGTCATGGCAATGATTGTACAAGGCCTCTTCAAACAGTCCATAAAACAAATACGTATTATTTAAAAAAAAAAACTATGCATAGATTTCAATTTTCTTGCACCAAAATAAACTTGCACTTCAATTCCATTTTCCCTGAACCTTTCGAAGTCCCTTTTACCACTTTGTAAATATACTAAAATCATGATAATATAATGTATAAATTATAGAACTATACAGCATATAAATTATATCTTAATAAAGCTGTTTCTAGAATGTGTTTGTTTAAACAGAGACACAAAAATTACAATGAAAAGGGGCCAGCAAATGCCATATCAGTTATGTTGCTGGGCTCCCACATGGCTAACCACTGTTCAAGTCCTGGATCCAGCGACTTGAAACTCACTCCGGGCACATGTATGTGCGTGCCCAAAATCCCAAGAGGAGAATGGAAGAGAAGGGATTGCGGTATGGCCATCCTCCCTGGGGGAGTTTTCTCACTTTCCCTCTCACTCTATCTGTCTCTCTCTCTCCAGGGAGCGTACACGCCCTAAGGCAGAAATTGCCACACACACACCAAAAAAAAAGAAGAAAAGACAAACTAAATTGAAAGAAGATAGTTACAATGCATTTAACAAAGAATTTATATTGAAAATTGGAGCCGGCAGGTAGCATGGTGGTTAAAGGGGCTGGACTCTCACATGGCCAACTGCAGTTCAACTCCTGGACCTGGTAGTTTGCTTTCTCACTTTCTCTCTCTCTCTCTCTCTCTCTCTCTCTCTCTCTTTCTCTGTCTCTCTGATCAAAATTGGAAAATAATGATAATAAAGTTAAATAAAATAGTTTTTAAAAAGAATTTAGATCCAAAATAAATAAGAAACATTGAGAGATGAGAAAGAAAATAAGGGGCCAGCACATGGCGTTGTGGTTAAGGAGCTGGGTTCCCAAGTGGTGGGCTGTGGTTTGAGTCCCAGACCTAGCAGCTTGAAAATCACACCAGACATGTGTGTGTGCCCAAAATCCTGAGAGGAGAGGAGAGGAAAAGGGATCGAGGCACGGCTTTCCCCTGGGAGAGGATTTCTCACTTTCCCTCTGTCTGTTTGTCTTTGTCTCTGGGGAGCGCATGCACCCTATGGAAAAACCTTAAAAGAACAAAAAAGGGGGACCAGCAGCTAGCATAATGGCTATGTCGCTGGACTCCCACGTAGTAGACCGCGGTTCAAGTCCCGGACCTGGTGGCTTAAACTCACACCGGGCATGTGTGCGTGCATACCCAAGATCCCGAGAAGAGAATGGAGGAGAAGGGATTGCGGCGTGGCCCTCCCCCCGGGGGGTGATTTCTCACTTTCTGTCTCTCTGTCTCTCTCAGTCTGTCTGGCGAGTGCACACGCCCTATAGCAAAAAGCTCTCCAAAAGAACAAAAATGGGAGTAATGACCAGAAAAGACAATCCACTTGTGCTCCCACTAATGTTCAGATAAATGAAAGCTAAGTATATACCCGTCTAAGTGAAAATCACACTCCAGGAAAACCTCCTGTACACAGGTGAGAGGACACGCACGAGAAACTACAGCATCTAACTGAGAAACATGGAGAGTAACGTGCTCACCAGCAATTCATCCTTCTCGGATGAATAATACCATCATGCAGTACCATACAGCGTGTGAGCTCGTGTGCCAGAGATAAAGAGAAAATTCTAAAGCGTTCATACTGTATAATGACATTGAGACAGAGTTTGAAAATGTGGTTAGGAATATGTATGTAAATACGTGTGTGTGTGTGTGTGTGTGTGTGGAGAGAGAGAATAATGTAACTGAAAGGGAAGAATAAAAAACAAGGATGAAGGTTAACTCTAAACTCAAAGGTAGAGAGAGGAAGAGATGAGATGGGCAAAGTTGGAGTTTGTACAACACAAACTTCAACTGGTTTTTATTTGTTGTTGCTGTTGTTTTATTTTTTAGGTTTTTACCACAGGGCGTGTTCACTCACCAGAGAAAGAGACACAGAGAGAGAAGGAAAGTGAGAAATCACCCCCCAGGGGTGAGGGCCACACCGCAGTCCCTTCTGCTCCAGTCTCCTTTTGGGACCTTGGGCATGCACACACACATGCACAGCCTGATTTTCAAAGGGTCCGGGACTCAACCCGTGGTCGGCCACGTGGGATGCAACGTCTTAACTACCATGTGCCTGCTGGAGCGGCTTCCACTGTTTGAACATTTCGTTTTGTTGATTTTTCTTTTCTGCGTGGTTTGAGATTCCATGTTGATATACACCGAGCCCATTTTCAAGAAAGGTAACGGGCAATATGCATTCTAAACCCTGAGGGCGCGTTCTCAAAACCCTGCTCCACCGCCTTCTGGTGTCATAAAGAAAGGCTGGCAGAGTCTTTCTTAATGGAAAGTAAACTTTTTTGCTCCTTTCAAGAAGATTTGAGAATGTTTTCCTCTTAATAATCTAAATATTTACCAAACTATGTCTCACATGGGACTTTTACTGAGTATTTATAAAATATGGCGAGCCACTATAATATCCTGGCTTCTCTCTTGTTCTGCTAGAACCCAAGCAGACAAGGGAAACTTCACAAAAATCCATTCTTCACTTTTTCAGGAACATATTGTCTTCTTAAAAAATATTTCTACTTGATGTGGGAAAAAATGTCACTGTTCCAGTAAATTTTGCAGTTTGTTAGTTCACAGGCTAGCTTCTGGTTTTCTTAGAAATCTTGTGTCGAATGTATCATTTCTTTCTCTCTGCTCTTCCATACCCCTGTGCAGGGATGTGTTCTGCTTACAAAAGATGTCAGTGAAGCGAGCAGTGTGAACGCTCACAGCGAGACAGCGCCACCCAGATGCCTCTCAGTTCTGGGGGGGTTATTTTTGTTTAAAGAAACCATTATTTACTGAGACTGAATCATGAAAAAAATCTCAAAAGTTTCCTGCATTTCTGATAATTTTGCCAAGAAAAAAGCCACACACACACACACACACACACACACACACACACACTGAAAATTCATAAAGCAGATGTACTGAAACCACACAAAAGCTTTTATAAAATACAATAGTGTTAAGGAAAGATAATAAAAGGAAGAGAAAATTAATACAAATCAATAACAGGAAAAAATCAAATTAATAATGACAAAAATAAATTTTTTAATGGATGAAATACTAAAAGCATTTCTGCTAAAATTAAAAACAAGGCAAGGAGGTGGCATGGTGGTTAAGTGCTGGATTCCCACATAGCTGACCACAGTTTGAGTCCTGGACCACGCAGCTTGGAAATCATGCCAGGTGTGTGTGCATGCATGCTCCAAATCCCAAGAGATTGAAGGAGAAAGGGTTGCAGCTTGACCTTTGCCCCAGAGGGGGATTTGTCACTTTCCCTCTCTTTCTCTCCCTGTCTCTATCTAGTGTGTGCACGCATCCTGTACCAAAAACAAAACAACAAAAAAACAAGGCAACAATGTCCACAGTCTCTACTATTATTTGACATTGCACTTTCAGCATCGACCAATGCAATGAGACAAGAGAAAACAATTCGAGTCCTAAGAATTAGGAACGAAGAAGTCAATTTTTCCCTATTTGCAGATGACGAGAGTACACCTAGAAATCCCAAAAGAATTGTTGCTAGAACTGATATAAATGTAAAAGAATTCAGTAATGAGTATATCAAATTAGCATAAAAATAGTTTTCAGGATTTGTATGTAAGACATTTAAAGAATTTCAGAGGGCAGCCCCCATTGCCTAGCGGTTAAGGGAAACCAGATCCCACATAGCTGACCACAGTTGTATCCTGGCTACAGTGGCTTCAAAAAGTGCCAGCTTTGTGTGTGTGCATGCCCCAAATCCTAATGAGATGGAGAAAGGAAAGAGAAGGATTGTGATGGGACCACACCCTCCTATGAGGTGCTTTCTCCCTCCTCCTCCTCCCTCTCTCTCTGTCTTGTCTCTTTGGCAAATGCATGTACTTTCTGGCAAGAAAAATAATTAAAATAATCAATGACCCTTATGTTTCAATAATAAAAGGCAAATTCATTTAAAATAGCCAAAGGATCTGAATAGATACCTCTCCAAAGAAGATGTATAGTTAATACATGAAAAGATGTTCAGCATCGTTAGTCAAAATGCAAATGAAAACCACAATGAGATATTATTTCACACCCCATTAGGGATCTAGAATTAAAAAGACAATGATAACAACTTTGGTAAGGATAAGAAATTGGATCCCTTAAATAATCATGACAAGAATGTAAAACGGTGCCACTTCTTTGGAGAACAGTTTGGGGGTTCCTGAAATGTTAAAAAATAAAGTTATCAGGACCAGCAGATGTAGTGGTTATGTCACAGGACTCCCACATAGCTGACCATGGTTCGAGTCCCAGACCCAGAGGCTTAAAACTCACACCAGGCACATGTGCATGCATGCCCAAATTCCCCAGAGGAGAATGGAGGAGAAGGGATTGCAGTGTGGCCATCCCCCCCTAGGGGGTGATTTCTCCCTTTCTGTCTCTGTCTCTGTCCTTCCAGCAAGTGCACATGCCCTATAGCAAAAAAAATAATACTACTAAATACTGTGTAAATAAAGTTACTATATGACATAACAATTCTCTATTCCTAGGAGGTTTTTACCCAAGAGAAATGAAAATATGTTTTTGTTTCATTTTGTTTTGTTGGTTTTTGTTTTGTTTTGTTTTGTTTTGTTTTTAGTTTGCTTTAGGACACATGTGCTCACCAGAGAGAGGCAGAAAGTGAGAAATCATCCCCGCCAAGGATGATCACACCGCGATTCCTTTTCCATCCTCTATCTGGATTTTGAGCATGCATGCACACACACCTGGCATGTTTTCCCAGTCTTTGGGTCCTGGACTCTAACCACATGGTCGTCTCTGTGGGATCCAGCCAACTTAATCTCCGTGCCACCTGACTGGCCCCAAGATATGTTTTCACAAACTTGCACACAAATGCCATAGCAGTGTGACTCATACCACCAAAAGGCAGAGACAGCCCAAACGTCCATCCACTGAAGAATGGATAAACCAAATATGGTATATCCATACAAGAGAATATTATTCAGCCAGGAAAAAAGAATAAAATACTGATACATACTACAGCATGGGCAAACTGCAAATATTATGCCAAGTGAGAGGCCAACCACGGAAGTCCGCACTGTCTGTGATTCAGAATTGGTCGATCAGTAGCCAGGAAGTAGATTTGTGTTTGCCTAAGGTTGTTGGAGTGAGGAGATATGAGCAGTAAGGAGTGACTCCTTAGGTGTGGGGTTTCTTTCTGAGGTGATGAAAATGTTCATAAATGACCATAACGTTGGCAAAGATAAACTGGATCTAGATAGTGGTGAGAATCCTGAAAACCACCGGGTTGTACGCTCTCGGTGACACACAGGTAACCGTATGTCCATAAGTGGCCGCTTGAATAGAGCTGGCAGGAGGTGAAGAGCAGGCCCTGCTGTGGCGGTGCTCACGGCACGCTGCTGCCGGGCAGGCAGAGGCCACGTGGGAGTCCTGGGACCCTTCCTCAGCCCACCTTACCGGGCACAGTGACATGTGCCACACTGTAGTCCCAGCGACCCAGGCAGGAGGATCACATCATAGCGACACCCGGTCTAAAAATATACCACATTCACATGCTCATCCGGGAAGTTCCTACCCTTCATGTGGACAGCCCATGTAAGTTAGGAGAGGAGACGCAATTGAAAATTCTACTTAAAATAACAGAAATACTTGGAGTAAGTTTATAGAGGAATGTACAAAATGTGTATAAAAAACCTTGAACACTCATGACAGATTAGACTTGAGTATGTACTTTCTTGGTTTTCTTTACTACTTTTGTATTTGTGCCTATAAATATATGCAGCCTCCATTTTTACTGGAAACAAAGCCTAGAAGGGTATGTACTATTTTTTAGAAAGTGAAATGAAATCCACAGCATTCTTAATCATTTTACTTGTTTACTATTTTCTGATGAGTCTGTTTTTAATGAAAAGAACTATTACTTTAAACATAATTGAGCTTACTCATTTCTAACTCTTCCTCAATTAGTATAGACCACCATATTATTAATAAACATTTATTTTTAATACCTATTGTCATACTTTTGGTTTTCTTAAGAAGACCAATCAGGGTCATTTTTTTAAGAACAGGAAGGAATTCTGCTCTGAAGTTATCTTCTAAATGTTTGTAAAAAAATCTTTTCCTGAACAGACCGACTCGATCGACACGTGACTGTCTTGTTTCTTACAGTCTCACTGTCAGGAACCAAGAAGAGCAGAGAGCCACAGGAGCGTCCCATGAGCTCAGAACAGACTTCCCGATCTGTGAAGAAAGGTGAAATCTCACATTTCTTAGCTCACTGAACTAACGGAAATAGCAACCCCCCTCCCTTCTCCCCCTCCTTCCCTCGCCCTGCCTTCCTTCCTCTTTCTTGAGCATTGCATGCTTCAGTGAACACCCGTTTCTCTAGCTGCAATTAGTAACATCAGCTCAGATCAAATGTGGCATCACGTCTCCCCCAGCAGAACTTTCAGTGCGTTGTGTGACGTGGAGAAAGATCAGTTCCATTAACCCAAACCCTCTGCTAACCGCAAATATGCTTCTCGACAAAACACATAATGTTCTGTTAATTTTGTGTAGTATATAAATGTTTCAATTAAAGGCCTGGGACCAGCAGTTAGTGTAATGGCTATGTCGCTGTACTCCCATGTAGCCGACTGCAGTTCGAGTCCCGAACTTTGTGGCTTAAACTCAGGCCGGGTGCATGTGCATGCGTGTCCAAGATCCCGAGAGGAGAATGGAGGAGAAGGGATTGCGGTGTGGCCATCCCCCTGGGGGGTGATTTCTCGCTTTCTGTCTCTCTCTGTCTTCCTGGTGAGCATACGCATCCTATAGCAAAAAACCTCTCCAAAAACTAATAAAAATAATAATAATAATATAAAAGGCCTGGGCTAGTAGTTAAGGGAGCCAGATCCCACATGGCTGACCATGCAGTTCATGCCCAGACCGAAGGCTTAAACATGCCAAGCACAGTGTGTGTGCGCCTACATCTCAGCAGGATGGAGAGATGGAGCAGAAAAACCGCAGTGTGACCACGCTCCATTGGAGGGTGCTTTCTCCTCTCTCTCTCTCTCGTGAGTACATGCATTCTCGGGCAATTAAAAAGAAATAATAATGAAAACACAAATTAATCCTAGCTAGCCAGTAGAAACCAATAATACAGTAGGACCAGGAACAAGTTATGCCAAGGACCTTGATGATTCAGACACCCTGAACAAATTCCTAAATAGGGGAAAATGACTAAAACATGGGCAAGAAGAAATGACATAGCAACTAATAACCTTTTATATCTTGCTAGGGCTGCTGTCATAAAGTACCAAAAACCTGGTAGCTTAAAACGACAGCAGTTTATGTCTCCGAGTTTGGGGCTAGAAATCCACAACCAAGGTGTCCGTAGGGCCACGTCTTCTCTGCTCTGACTCCCGGGGAGGCTGCTCCTTGCCTCTTCTCGCTCCGGTCGTTGCCAGCAATTCTCGGCGTACCTTGGCTAAAGCTCCATTGCTGGAGCCAGCTTCCAAGCCAGCTGGAGAGGGCTTCCCAGGTAGCTCCATGCCATCACCCCTCTGGGCATGTCTGACTGGGTTCAGCCCCCCATCCTGTGAGGACACCTGTCATAATGGATTACTCGCCCTCAGGACCTTCTATAACCGTCCAGACAAGGCCACATTTGGAGGGACTGGGGGGAGAACATCAGTATGTCTTTTGGGGGGATTAAGTCAGAGTAAACACTGAACCCAGATGGTTTTATAGGCTAGCTCCACAAAACATCCCCGGAATAGGTCGTCCAACGTTATCCAACTCTGTGTAACCACCCAATGTCTAAGAGGCCAGCATCGCAGGATACCATAATCTGAGGATAGGAAAGGAAGGAAAGCTGTACCTGTGATTTGCTAATTACACACTGTGCGTGCTGTGAAAAACCATACTGTACCCGCCCACCCACAGAATGGAAAGTTAGAGATGAACTCTGCTCAGAAACGGTCTACACACAACTACATGGGTGAATCTGAGAACTTAATGTGGGGTGAAAAAAACAAGTCACAGAAGATAGCATGTATGTGAGAACGCCAACCAGTTCATGGAAAATGAAATTAAACTACGAGTTTATTTTGGTGCAGAAAATTTTTGAAATCCATGCTTAGTCTTCCTAGTAGACGTTTTCATGAACTTTCTGAAGACCCCTCATATCTCTGAAGAACGTATTCGTTTTCTTTTTTTCCAGTTTGTCAGAGGACATGTGCATTTGTCAGAGAGAAATGGAGAGAGAGGGGAAAAATGAGGAAGCATCCCCACTCCCCTGGGCAATGGTCACACTGCAATCCTGTCTCCTCTCTCTCTCCCTCCTTTCAAGATTTTGGGCACACACACACACACCTGGTGTGTATCTCAAGCCACCAGGCCCAGAACTCAAACTGCAGTTGGGTACGTGGGATCCAGTTGCCTTAACCATCACAAAATGGAGAGAGAGGGGAAAAATGAGGAAGCATCCCCACTCCCCTGGGCAATGGTCACACTGCAATCCTGTCTCCTCTCTCTCTCCCTCCTTTCAAGATTTTGGGCACACACACACACACCTGGTGTGTATCTCAAGCCACCAGGCCCAGAACTCAAACTGCAGTTGGGTACGTGGGATCCAGTTGCCTTAACCATCACACCACCGTGATCGGGTACGTGGTATCCAGTTGCCTTAACCATCACACCACCGTGATGGAATGGGGTGTCAGCAGGTGGCGTGGTGGTTAAGGTGATGGACTTCCACATGGCTGACACCAGTTTGAGTCTTGGGCCTGGTGGCTTGCTCTCTCACTTTCTTGCTCTCTCTCTCTCTCTCTAGTGAACACACATGCCCTATAGCAAGTTTTAAAATAATAAAATAAAATACATCTTTTATATATTTTTTTGGAGGTTTTTGCTATAGGGCGCATGTGCTCGCCAGAGAGAGACAGAAAGTGAGATATCACCCCACGGGGGAGGGGGTTTTTTTTTCCACCCCGCAATCCCTTCTCCTCCATTCTCCTCTCGGGATCTTGGGCACGCACGCACATGCGCCCGGCGTGAGTTTAAGCCACTGGGTCCGGGACTCGAAACGCGGTCGCCTATGTGGGAGTCCAACGACATAGCCATTACGCTAACTGCTGGTCCCAATAAATCTTTTTATTTAAAGTTCATGGAAGTTGAATAATAAATATATAGATTTCAAAATTTTTCTGCACCAAAATGAACTCGTTCCATTTTTCCACAAATGTTTGAAGCCCTCTGGTGCATACATAAAAACTATGAACAAAGATAAGAGAAGCAAGACACTAAGAAACATTATTAAACAGATCGTGTTTTCTGACTTCAGTACAGTTAAATGGACATAAAACATAACTCAAAAAGGGTAAACCCAAAATCAAGCACGGTGTTCATTTTGCGGACACCCTTCGTAACGTACATTCATATGACATATATTCCTTTCTCATTTTCAAATATTACATATCAAAAAACGTTAGTAGCCCCACCCGTGGTGGTAGAGGGTTGCTGTTGTTAAGTCTGACTTAGTTTTTTCGTGGGTGATTAGACAGTTTTGGCTTAGATGGTTGTAGGAGCTTTTTTTGTTTTGTTTTTCACTTTTACCATATTAAAACATTGTCAGGATCCAGCCCTCAGCCTGATGGTTAAGGGAGCTGGATCCCACATGGCTAGTGGTTTGAAAAATGGTACATGCCCAAAATCTGCAAAGGAGGGCGATATGGAAGAGAAGGAATTGTGGCATGACCATTCCAGGGCGATATGAAAGAGAAGGAATTGTGGCATGACCATTCCAATGTGGGGGTACTTTCTTCTCAATCTCTCTCTCTCTGCCTCTCTGTCTCTGGCAAACATGTGCCCGCTGGTTAAAAAAAAAAAAAAATCCTTGCAGGGATGTGCCCGTATGTAAACGGTCTGATCTGAGCAGCCGGCCATGGTCGCGGCGTGGTCTGCGCACCGGCGCCAGCCCTGCAGCCCAGCCGTTCAGCTGAGATCACTTGCTGCGTGTTTTTGCTGAAGGCTTAAGGACATGGGTTCGGCTCCGTCCCCCCGAAAGGGCCTAAATGCATACATTTTCCGTTCTCAGAGGAGGAGAGGCGCGTTTCTAGTGGTGAAATGCAGTCACAGCTCCCTCTCGCCCCCTTTCTTTCGCTCCCACCAAGCCCGACCCCCACTCTGGAAGAAGTCAGCGCCTGGGCCCAGTCCTTCGACAAGCTGATGATCACTCCTGCGGGAAGAAACGCTTTCCGCGAATTCCTGCGGACAGAGTTCAGTGAGGAAAACATGCTTTTCTGGATGGCCTGTGAGGAGCTGAAAAAGGAAGCTAATAAAAACATCATTGAGGAGAAGGCAAGGATCATCTACGAGGATTACATCTCCATTCTTTCTCCCAAAGAGGTGCGTGGGGGGAGGTGTCCGCAGGGCCACAGTGAGCTGAACCCCGCCCGTGTTTGGCCGCGGTCAGAGTACGAAGCTGCCTCAGTTCACGCTCTTCAAAGCTCTCTTGACAGCGATCCCACAGGTGGCCCGAAGTGCCCCCAAAGTCTGTGAAAAGTCATGTGCATTTTTTCCCCAGGAAAAAACTCAAGTATCACTATTCACAGTTTTAAAATATTATATCTAGGTGAGCAGGTGGCATGGCAGTTAAGGTGACTCGAATCCCAGACCCAGCAATTTGAAAAATACAGCAGGTGTGTGTCCCCCAAATCCCGAGAGGAGATGGGATTGCGACATGGCCATCCTCCCTGGGGAGTGATTTCTCACTTTCTTTCTGGGGTGTCTAAGATGTAAAGAAACGTACACCCTATGGCATGCCTTTGAACAAAAATATCCTGTTGTCCTTAGGAAGGTCTCTTTTCCTGGGCATCTTCGTTTGCAGAGCGATGGCGTGAGTGCCGAGGCACCGATGCTGGAAGGGCTCTATGTCGGAGGAATTACTGGATGAGTAAACTTGGGCAAGCTTCTACCTGAGTTTTAGTGTTTTCAAATCTAAAATCCGGTTCGGGTTGTTCTGAAAATCTGAATGCCTCATGGCTGCGGTTACAGAAGCAGGCACTGCCTCCTGCGGTGCTGTGTCACTAAGAAGGTGGGGTTCAGAGGGCGCTCAGGGGAGTGGGAAGACCCACGCACCGCCCTGAAGCAGCACCTGGGAGGAGGCACACAGACATCGGGGCCCTCCCGGCCCTAACCCGGGTCCTCACTGAGCACTTGCAGGAGTGGTCTTTCCTGTGCGTGAACTGGAATCTTCATTCCTGTCTCCTGCCGTAACTCGCAGTCCAACTGTTATGAGGAGCTTTCACCCTTCCCGCGAAGAGCTGGTCGTGGGACTGGGTCCAGGGGCTGTGCTCGCGACATCCAGCCTTTCTTTTTTTGTTTTAGTATGGAGTACTTGATGAATTTGTGTCACCCTTGTGCAGGGGCCATGCTAGCCCGGCTTGAGTACATGTGCTGCCCAGGTGAGCACCGGGCCTTTCTGCTCCGGAAGCTCAGGGCTGCCTAATGGTGAGAGCTGCCATAGGTAATAAGGGGGCCCGGAGCAACACGGAGGGGTCTTTCCCTCCTGGACGGTCGGTGAAGCCTTCCTGAGTCGGGAGAGTGACGTCTAAACTGAGGCCATGGAAGTCACCAGGCAGGCTAGAGGGAAGGTTATTCCGGGATGTTCTAGGAGGAACAAGATGGTCCTTGCTCCTTCCTTCTTCAAATTCCGAGAGGCTGGGACAGCTCCTGAGTGGAGCAGTGAGGCAGGACTGGGGAACCAGCGGCTGAAGGGCTCAGGAGGAAGTGGGGAGCTTTGCACTCGATCCGGAGGGCACGGACAGGCCAGGGCACGGTGCGGGCATGAAGCCGGCAGGACAAGGCTGGCACGGACAGGCCAGGGCACGGTGCGGGCGTGAAGCTGGCAGGACAAGGCTGGCACGTAGAAAGAGCCCCTGGCCGCCTGAGAGCATGGGTTGAAAGGCACTGGATGGGCTCCAGACCAGCCGGGAGGCTGCCTCCCAAACCCTGCAGCAAAGGGCGAGTGACCTCCGCAGGTCATGGCAGAGAACAGGTGGGATCAGGGGTCGGACAGTGGCGCAGCAGTATGACACAGTGGTGTGAGGCAGCCCCGCACAGGAAGGTTCCCGGTTCAAGTCGAGACCTCCCTGCGTACACCAGGCATGCATGTGCCCTCAACCTGGGGCTTGCTGAGGCGGGGGTGGATCTGTGTCAGGACCCTGCTGAGGCTTCGCTCTCTCATCACTCATGGGAGGAACTTCATATCCTCGTTATAAAGAGAGGTAGGACCGCAGACCTTTGAGACTAAATGTAGAGCCATAATGCACAAGGAGTTCTGGAGGTGAGAGAGCCTGTCTGGGTGAACTGGGTTTCAGGTACCTGTGTGCCCTCCGGGGGGACGGTGGACTGAGGCACCGAAGTCGGCATTCGGTGACCCACAGACCATGTTTTCAGTTGCACGTTCACGGCCATGCATTGCACGACATCGGGACTCCTGGTCAGAGGAGTCTGGCTGAGGTTCTTCACGGAGATAGACGTTCAGCTCTGCAGTCCTGGCCCTGAGGCTCGTTCAGTGTCCCACAGGAAGTCTGAGTCCAGTAGTCCGCTCTGGCCTGAGGCCGTCCTATCAGGACACACAACGCCCGAGCAAGAGTGCCAACATCTAGGGCCACTGGATTTCCAGCACTTAAATTCTCATTAAATCCTAAACCAGATGTCTAGAAACCATCCTCCTCACCCCCACTTTAGGAAAAGACTTCATTAGGAAGCAGTTTACCTTATTCACTGTCCTACAACTAAGCAGAAACAGCTGGGATTTAAACGCAGCTGTCACCTGGCCATAGGCCCTGAGACTTTGACCCTCGTGCCATGTTCTGGGGCAGCTTCGCCTCATGGCCAAGGCTTCCAGCCAGCCAGGTGTGCCTCCCTGGGGATCTACCAGTATCCGAGCTGGGCAGAAGCCTGGGGCCTCCAGGTTTTAGCCCTGTTTTGGGAAATTAACAAGGGGTAAGTCCCTGCTGCTTTTTCCTTCAAAGGACATAGTACTTCATTCTAAGCAAAATAATGGTGTGGTTTCTGGAGTCAGGTGCTCTCGACCAGCATTACTTAGAACTTGGGAGAGATACAAATTCGTAGGCCCTTCCCAGACCTGCTGAGTCAGAGGCGGGGGTGGGGCCCTGCTCTGTCTAACAGCTTCCAGGGCTGCAGGCTCCTGTGAGCATGGAGAGCCCCGTTCATTGTGCTGTTAGTCGTCTTTTGGCAGTTTGGACTTTTGGATGACCTTGTTTAGTTTGGGATTTACAAAGAACAAAACAAGCTGTGGGCATTTGGGAGAGGTTTACAAAGGGAATTGCCTCACACAGTGTCACTTGTCTCTGTTGGCAGGTCAGCTTAGACTCCGGGGTCAGAGAAATCATCAACAGAAACATGCTGGAGCCTTCCCAGCACATCTTCGACGACGCCCAGCTTCAGATCTACACGCTCATGCACAGGGACTCGTACCCCCGCTTCATGAACTCTGCGCTCTACAAGGACTTACTTCAGTCCTTGTCTGAGAAGTCGGCTGAGGCGTAGGATTTGTCACATATATTTATTATTCATGAAATAATCAAAGAACTCTGGACTACGTCTAGCACAGGGGATTTAGAGGTAGTAACACCGTCTGCTGGAGAAATACTTGGGCTATTTTAACAACAGGTGTATCCCTCCAGAGGGCTGGCTACCGAGCCACAATGTAAATTACAGCCACCTTTAGTGGTATTTCGAGAAACATGGGCTGACTGTTTTAGAAAGGTAGTATGTTTACATTTACAGTCGCAGTAGCATGCCCTCCATGGCACAGGAGACGAGAAGACTCCACCCCGCCTGGAGCACATATCCGTGGGAGCAAACCGCCCCACCTTTGTTTTGCATGGGTTCAGTAATGGACTGCCGAGTCTCCCCTCAAAGAAAAGATATTCGAGTGTTTCTCAGCTACCCCTTCCTGCCATCATGCTTGGTTTGAATACTTCACTTAGTGCCATTACACGGCCCAAATCACATCTTGTAAAGATGGGACCACTACTTGTGAAAATGGTATCCCGCTTGATCGTGGTGTCTGTACGTATGCAGATGCATAAATGTGCGAGTATATCTACACATTGTTACGTAAAATGCCATGTCTTGAGCTCAGTCTCAGATGTCTGGTAAGAGGAGCAATGCTTAGAGAATTTTCCTGCCGAGAAGAGTAACTGTTATTTTATTTTCAAGGTTTGCCAACCTGAATTATTCACAATTTGATCATGTTCACAACAAAACTTTCAAGTAAGCATATTTACATTTTTATTATTCAAAGAAACATGGGCATTTTCACTCCTAAAAAAAAAAATAAAGCACAAGAATTTTATCTCAATCTTTCATTTTTTTTATTAGTTAAGTTTTCAGGAATTACGAGATTATGTTAACTAGCAATACACGTAACCTATCTTTTCACTCCCAGACTAGGACTCTGTCTTAAGATGCCACTATTTTTATCTTAGTAAATGGAATCACTTCTTAGCTAGCACGTAAAAAATACTAAGTTGGAGACCTAAACTATCTTGGAATAAACATCCCTACAATGAATAGGAAAGGCATACAAAATCTGGAATGATTAGAGTAGCAAATTAGAAAATTGGCAAAAGGCCAGCACCATGATTAGCCACCTGCTGGTCCCTTCCAAAGTAAAATTTAATTTTGTGAGATGGTTGTTGTTCATTATGAAAAATGTGTACATAAACATATACATTTCAAAATAGTCTAAACATCTAAAAATGTTTGAACAAGGATGCTACCTATTTTTGCAATTTCAGATAAGTTTTCCTAATCAAAACATAAAATTCAGAAGCCGTAAAAGAAAATACTGGGACCAGCAGTTAGCGTAATGGCTATGTCGCTGGACTCCCACGTAGTCGACCGTGGTTCAAGTCCCGGACCGGGTGGGTTAAACTCATGCCAGGTGCATGTGCGTGCATGCCCAAGATCCCGAGAGGAGAATGGAGGAGAAGGGATTGCAGCGTGGTCATTCCCCCTGGGGGGTGATTTCTCACTTTCTGTCTCTCTGTCTCTGTCTGTCTGGCGAGCGCATGCGCCCTATAGCAAAAACTTATCCAAAAAAAAAGAAAATACTGATAGAATTTTATGATAACAAAACATTTTAACATTCTGTACCATGAAAAGAAAAACACAAACTTCATGCTACAAAAGATTGATGACTGCTATAAAGAATGTAAGTTAGCATAATGGCTATGTCACTGGACTCCCATGTAGTTGACCACAGTTCGAGTCCTGGACCCGGTAGCTTAAACTCACGTCAGGTGCGTGTGTGTACGTGCCCAAGATCCCGAGAGGAGAATGGAGGAGAAGGGATTGTGGTATGGCATTCCCCCCTTGGGGGTGATTTCTTGCTTTCTATCTCTCTATCTCTGTCTTTCTGGAGAGCGCCCTATAAAATAAAAAACTTTTAAAAAAATGTGTTAGGAATGCCTACAAATTACTAAGAAAAATAACTGCAGATAAAAAAAAGGCATGAGAAAAGATAACTATTGATAATTGTTTTTTGTAATTTTGCCAGAGGGCATGTATGCTCACTGGAGAGAGAAAGAGGGAAAGCGAGAAAGGAACCCCCTGTGGGGGATGGTCACGCCATAACCCCTTCTCCATTTCCTCCACCTTTCAGGATTTGGGGCACGAGCATGCACACTTGCACATGCGCACACACACACACACACATGCCTGTTGTGTATCTCAAGCTGCCGGGTCCAGATCTTGAACCATGTAGTTAGCCATATGGGCCAACTTGACTTAACCACCACAACAGCAGCTGCCCTAGGCCACAATCAAAGACAATTAACAGAGAACCAGCTCCAGCCCCATAGCACAGCTATGAAGGGAGCCAGATCCCACATGGATGACCAATTTGAATCCCAGCCCAGCTGGCAACTTGAAAAACATCCTGGGCATGTGACCCAAAATGTCCCAAAGCCTGACGGGATGGAGAAAGGAGAAAAAAGGATTGCTGTATAAGTGCCCCATTGAAAGTGTTTTCTCTCTTTCTGATAAACACATGTGCCTTCTGGCAATTAAAAAATAAAAAAAGAGAGACAAATAACAGAAGACACTGGCTAAGGGGGCACTGATCCCAAGTGGCAACTGCAGGTCAAGTCCCGGGCCCTTTTGGGCTGAAACATGCCGAGCACATGCACGTGCCCAGGATCCAAGTGGCTGGAGGGCTAGAGAAGATCATGGTGTGACAAGACCTTGTGGAAGGTGCTCACACCTCCCTCTTTCTCGAGCTCGCTCTCATGTGCGTAGCGCAAGCTCCATCATGAAATTTTTAAAATTTGAAATCAAGTGCTTAATAAACAAGCAGGATGAGTGTAAGAAATTTAAACAGATTATCATATAATCACAAATTCAAACAATGAGGTGACAGTGGTTACCATCTCCCCCAGACTTGCAAAATCAAAAGGCTCTGGTAACAGCCCATATTCGAACAGGAAGTGGGTGAGGAAATGGGTACTTACATCCTGGTGACAGGTGGGCAGAGTATTATGACTTTCAGGAAAGTAATCTGACAATATCTGTCAGTTTCAATATACTTACCCACTACCTGAGCAATTACACTAAGGATCTGTCCCACCAAAACATCAACGATACACACATACATATACAAGAGTGTTCACTACAGCCCTGTTTATGATAACAAAATCTACCCATAGGAGAATAGTTTTAAAAGGGAACAGGAGGGCCAGCAAGTGGTGTGATGGTTAAGGATGCTGGACTCCCACATGGCTGACTGCGGTTCAAATCCCAGACTTGGCGCCTTGCCTTCTCACTTTCCCTCTCTCTCTCACTCTGTTCCTCTGGTCAAATTAAAATAAAGATAAATAAAAATAATTATTTAAAAAAAGGGAACAGTATATCCTGCTACAGTTTGAATAATGGTTTGTCTACCAAATCATGTTCTGGAATTAGTCCCCAGTGTAATGATGTTAGGAGGAGGTGAGACCTTTAAGAGGTGAGGCCTAGTGGGCAGTGGTTGGCTCCTAAAGGCATCGTCCTCGTGGATGGGTTTCATGAGACGGAGGGAATTCTTTTTTTTTTTTTGAGAGGTTTTTGCTATAGGGTGTGTGCGCTCGCCAGACAGACAGAGACAGAGAGACAGAAAGCGAGAAATCACCCCCCAGGGGGGATGGTCACGCCGCAATTCCTTCTCCTCCATTCTCCTCTCGGGATCTTGGGCACGCACGCACACGCACCCGGCGTGAGTTTTAAGCCACCGGGTCCGGGACGCGAACTGCAGTCGACTACGTGGGAATTCAGCAACATAGCCATTACGCTAACTGCTGGTCCCGAGACAGAGGGAATTCTAACCTTCCTGAGAAGTTACCAGTTCCCATGCAAGTGGGTTGTTGTAAAGATGTCTGCCCCAGGTCTCTTGGCAAGAACCCCATTCTCGCTGCTTCTGTCAGCCAGGTGAGGCAAGTGTGATACCAGTTCCATGCCTTCAGATTTTCCAACCATCAGAAGTGGGACAGAAATATAAATCAACTTAGTCTCATATATTTCTGTCAGCAACACAATAGTGGACTAAAACAATACCCATGGGTTACTCTGTTTTATTAATTATGATGTCTGGTTTACATATAATCAATGTGTATCTTAAGGCATGCATACAGTATACAATAATCAAACCAAGGACATATCCATACTCATCTTCAATACCGAATTTCACACATTCAGTATTTACAAATGATGTGCACATTTGTTAAGGGTTCTACTAGTTCTTTTCTTAATATGTATTAAGTTGTCCATATTTTTACTCTGTCAAAATGAATGTGATACATTTAAAATAGATTAGCAGGTAAGCATTCTAAGATAAACTTAAATGAAAAAAGCAAGTTGTAGGGTATGTATAATGTGCTATATATGTTAATAATGACCATTCCAAAACAAAACCAAAAAATCCTTTGCTGCGTTAGTTTTATTATAAGTGTTTTATCCATTATTAGTTCTAGCCCACAAAAGCCCTTTGTTGTTTTTGTGTATTAGGAAAGTGTTTTCTTTATAATATTTTATTCAGTTGCTTTTTTTTTATTTTACCACTAGTTCATGATAAAATTTTATCATTCGAGGACAATATTTTATGAGATCAAGAACTTAATTTTAAAATATTTTAGTAGAAAATAAGATGTTTTGAAATAGTAATAAAAGAAAAGTGTAAGGGGGCTTCCAAAAGTTCATGAAAAATGGAATTAATATACAAGTATTATTTTAGAGCACAAAAATTTTTTAATCCATCCAGTTATTTCACAATATACATCTTCAGGAACTTTTTGGACTCCTTCACATTCTAATTTACAGATGAGACAAAGAAGCAACCTACCCTGCTCAAAGTCTCACGGCAAATAAGTAAAACAAATTTAAATCTGAGAAAATTGGCATTTACTATAAAATGCAAATTTTTTTTTTCTTTGAGAGGTTTTTGCTATAGGGTGTATTCACTCACCAGAGAGACAAAGAGACAGAAAGTGAGAAATCACCTCCCAGGAAGTATGTCCATGCTGCAATCCCTTCTCCTCCTATCTCCTCTTGGGATTCTGGGCACACACACACACACATGCCCGGCATGTTTGGGGCTGCCAGGTCTGGGACTCGAACTGCAGTCGGGTACGTGGGAGTCCAGTGACACAACCATTATGCCATCTGCTGTTCCCTGAAATGCCAATTTCTTTGGAAAGAAAACTACACAGACCTGTGCGACCATATACACACAAACACAGACATAAAACAGTGAAGATCAGAGCCAAGAAGACTATTTTTCCAATTTATGTTTTTAACCTAAAGAAGATGATAAAAATCAGTTTGGGAAGGTGATATTAAGAATATCCTGGACCAGCAGTTAGCGTAATGGCTATGTTGCTGGACTCCCCACGTAGTCAACCACGGTTCACATCCCGGACCTGGTGGCTTAAAACTCACACCAAACACGTGTGTGTGCGTGCCCAAGATCCCGAGAGGAGAATGGAGGAGAAGGGACTGCGGCATGGCCATTCCCCCTGGGGGGTGATTTCTCACTTTCTGTCTCTCTGTCTCTGTCTGGCGAGCGCATACACCCTATAGCAAAAACCTCTAGAAAAAAGAATATCCTGACTGAATCCATTCTGCTTCATGTTAAAATGTTTATACTAGACCCAGCACAGGGTAACACAAGTGCCCTACAAGGTTGAAGACATAAGGCCAGGACCAGCAGTTAGCGTAATGGCTATGTCGCTGGACTCCCACGTAGTCGACCGCGGTTCAAGTCCCAGAACCGGTGGCTTAAACTCATGCCGGGCGCGTGTGCGTGCATGCCCAAGATCCCGCCACGAGGAGAATGGAGGAGAAGGGATTGCGGCATGGCCATCCCCCCTGGGGGGTGATTTCTCGCTTTCTGTCTCTCTGTCTCTGTCTGGTGAACGCACGCGCCCTATAGCAAAAACCTCTCCAAAAAAAGGAAAAAAAAAAAACAAAACATAAGGCCAACCACAGGGTTAGATCCCCCTGTCAGCCTAAAAAGATGTTCACATAGGCACCTAGGATCCTGAGGACTGGAGGGCTGAGTAAAGGGTAGTACAGCATGACAAGACACTGTTGTGGGTTTTCCTCTGTCTCTCTCTCATGAATGTGCACATGCTATCATAAATAAACTAAAACCAAACCAAACAAAAAACACTGTTCTACAAAGGAAACAATAAATAGATCGCAGGGCAACCTATGGAATGAGAGGAAACTTTTGCAAATTAATTATCTGATAAGGAGTTAAGATCCCCAAAACTAAAGGAAATTCTTCCAATTCAAAAAGCAAGCAAAAAACACCTAATTTTTGGACCAAGAATTTAAA